AAAGGGATGGAAAACACCAAAGATAAATACAGGAAAGGGATGGAATTGACTTAGTCTAAGGAAATAAGAGGCCATCAGAAAATGGACTATCTCATCTACGAGATTTTTTATACAAACCTCATGGTAACCACTAAACAAATAATCAAAACAGATACACATATGATGAATAAAGAGAAAACTAAGAAAACCATCATACAGAACTACCAAACTGAATTGGTAGTCTGAAACACACAGGACAAGAAACAAAGTAAATGCAGAAGAACTGGAAAATGAGCTACAAAATAGCAACATTAAGCCCTTATATGTCTAAAACCACTCTAAATGTAAATGGACTAAATTTTCCATAGAGTGGCGGGATGGACTAAAAAACAAGATGCAACAATACGCTGCCTCCAGGACACACATCTCAGCTCTAAAGACAAACACAGGCTCAGAGTGAAAGCATGGAAGACAATACTCCAAGCTAATGGCAAACAAAAGAAAGCAGGTGTTACCCTACTTATATCAGACAAAGTAGACTTCCAGAAAAAACAGGTAATGAGAGACAAAGAGGGACAATATATAATAATAAAAGGGACACTCCACCAAGAAGACATATCACTTACAAACATAGATGCTCCCAACACAGGGGCACCAAACTACATAAAGCAACTATTAACAAACCTAAAAGGAGATATTAGCAACAACACAATAATCGTAGGGGATCTTAACACCCCACTTACATCAATGGATAGATCATCCAGACAGAAATTCATTAAGGAAATAGTGGACTTAAATGAAAAACTAGACAAGATGGATTTAATAGATATATATACAGCACTCCAACCAAACACAACAGAATACACATTCTTCTCAAGCATGCATGGAACATTCTCAAGGACAGGCCATATGCTGAGAAACAAGGCAAGCCTCTATAAATTTAAGAAGATTGAAATCATAACAAGCATCTTTTCTGACCATAATGCTATGAAACTAGAAACCAACTACAAGAAAAAAACTGGGAAAGTGACAAAGATGTGGAGACTGAACAAAATGCTACTGAACAATCAATGGATCACTGAAGAAATTAAAGGAGAAATCAAAAAATATCTGGAGATAAATGAAAATGAAAATACACCATACCAACTCATATGGGATGCAGCAAAAGCAGTCCTGAGAGGGAAACTCATAGCAATACAGGCCCACCTTAACAAACAAGAAAAAGCCCAAATAAGCAATCTTAAACCACACTTAGAAAAAGAAGAACAAACAAAGCCCAAAGTCAGCAGAAGGAAGGAAATAATAAAAACTAGAGCAGAAATAAATGAAATCGAAACCAAAAAAACAGTAGAAAGGATCAATGAAGCAAAGAGCTGGTTCTTTGAGAAGATAAACAAAATTGACAAACCCTTAGCCAGACTCACTAAGAAAAAGAGAAGGCACAAATAAATAAAATGAGAAATGAAAGAGGAGAAATTACAATGGACACCACAGAAATACAAAGGATTATAAGAGAATACTATGAAAAACCATATGCCAACAAACTGGACAATCTAGAAGAAATGGGTAAATTCTTAGACTCATACAACCTCCCAAAACTGAATCAAGAAAAAATAGAGAATCTGAGTAGACCAATCACAAGTAAAGAGATTGAAACAGTAATCAAAAACCTCCCTAAAATAAAAGTCCAGGACCAGATGGCTTCTCTAGAGAATTGTACCAAACATTCAAAGGAGATTTAACACCTACCCTTCTCAAACTATTCCAAAAAATAGAGGAAGATGGAACACTTCCCAAAACATCCTACAAGGCCAACATCACCCTGATACCAAAGCCAGACAAAGACAATACAAAGAAAGAAAATTACAGGCCAATATCGCTGATGAACACAGATGCAAAAATTCTCAACAAAATACTGGCAAATTGAATACAGCAATACATTAAAAAGATCATACGCCATGTTCAAGTGGGATTTATACCAGGGACATAGGGATGGTTCAACACTTGCAAATCAATCAATGTGATACACCACATTAGCAAAATGAGCAATAAAAACCACATGGTCTTCTCAATAGATGCAGAGAAGGCTTTTGACAAGATCCAACATCCATTTATGATAAAAACTCGCAACAAAATGGGTATAGAAGGAAAGTACCTTAACATAATAAAGGCCATATATGACAAACGCATAGCCAACAGCATACTCAACGGGGAAAAACTAAAAGCCATCCCTCTGAGAACAGGAACAAGACAAGGGTGCCCACTTTTGCCACTCTTATCCAACATACTGGTGCAGGTTTTGGCCAGAGTAATTAGGCAACAAAAAAGAATAAAAGGAATCCAAATAGGCAACGAAGAAATGAAAGTCGCGCTGTTTGCAGACAACATGATTTTATATAGAAAACCCTAAAGAATCCACCAGAAAACTATCAGAAGTAGTCAACAACTACAGCAAAGGTGCAGGGTACAAAATCAACTTAAAATTAGCTGCATTTCTATACTCTAATAAGAAACTAACAGAAAGAGAACTCAAGAAGACAATCCCATTTACAATTGCAACAAAAAGAATAAAATATCTAGGAATAAATTTAACCAAGGAGGTGAAAGACCCATACAATGAAAACTATAAGACATTATTGAAAGAAATTGATAATGATATAAAGACATGGAAAGATATCCCATGCACATGGATTGGAAGAATAAACATAGTTAAAAAGTCCATACTACCTAAAGTAATCTACAGATTCAATGCAATCCCAATCAGAATCCCAATGACACTCTTCACGGAAATAGAACAAAGAATCCTAAAATTCATACGGGGCAACAAAAGACCCCAAATAGCTAAAGCAATCCTGAGAAAAAAGAAGAAAGCTGGAGGCATCACAATCCCTGACTTTTCAAAATATACTACAAAGCTATAATAATTAAAACAGCATGGTACTGGTACAAAAACAGACACACAGATCGATGGAACAGAATTGAAAGCCCAGAAATAAAACCACACATCTACCAACAGCTGTCTTTGACAAAGGAGCTAAGAACATACAATGGAGAAAGGAAGGCCTCTTCAATAAATGGTGTTGGGAAAACTGGACAGCCACATGCAAAAGAATGAAAGTAGACCATTTTCTTTCACCATACACAAAAATTAACTCAAAATGGATCAAAGACTTCAAGGTAAGACCTGAAAGTATAAAACTCCTAGAAGAAAATATAGGCAGTACACTCTTTGACATTGGTCATAGAGGGATCTTTTCCAATTCCATGTCTACTCGGACAAGGGAAACAAAAGAAAAAAGAAACAAGTGTGACTTCATCAGACTCAAGAGCTTCTGCAAGGCAAATGAAACCAGGATCGAAATGAAAAGACAACCCACCAGCTGGGAGAAAACATTTGCAAATCATCTATCCAACAAGGGGTTAATCTCCATAATATATAAAGAACTCACACAACTGAACAAGAAAAAAAACAAATGACCTGATCAAAAAATGGGCAGAGGATATGAACAGACATTTTCCCAAGGAAGATATGCAGATGGCCAACAGGCACATGAAAAAAATGTTCAACATCAGTAACCATCAGGGAAATACTAATCAAAACTACACTAAGATATCACCTTACACCTGTTAGAATGGCTCTAATCACCAAGACAAAAAATAACAAATGTTGGAGAGGTTGTGGAGAAAAGGAAACCCTCATTCACTGCTGGTGGGAATGCAAACTGGTGCAGACTCTACGGAAAACAGTACGGAGATTCCTCAAAAAATTAAATACAGAAATACCTCATGATCCAGCTATCCCACTACTGAGTATTTATCCAAAGAACCTGAAATCAACAATCCAAAGAGGCCTACGTACCCCTATGTTCATTGCAGCATTATTCACTATAGCCAAGACGTGGAAGCAACCCAAGTGCCCATCAACTGATGATTGGATAAAGAAGATGTAGTCTATATACGCAATGGAATACTACTCAGCCATAAAAAAAGACAAAATTGTCCCATTTGCAACAACATGGATGGACCTGGAGGGTATTACGTTAAGCGAAATAAGCCATACAGAGAAAGACAAACACCATACGATTTCACTCATATGTGGAAGATAAACTAACACACGGACAGACAGAACAGTTTGGTGGTTACCACGGGGAAGGGGGTTGGGGGTGGGTACAAGAAGTGAAGGGGTACATTTATATGGTGACTGACAAACAATAAGGTACAACTAAAATTTCGCAATGTTATAAACTATTACGACATCAATGAAAAAAAGATGAATTCTTGCCATTTTTGACAACATGGATAAACCTTGAGGGTATTATGCTAAGCGAAATAAGTCTGACTGGAGAAAGTCAAATACCATATTATTTCACTCAAGTGGAAGATAACAACAACAAACAAATACATAGATACAGCGATTAGATTGGTGGTTACCAGAGGGGAAGCAGGGAGGGGGGAGGGCAAAAGGGGTGACAGGGCACGTGTTCAGTGACAGATGGTAATCAGTCTTTGGGTAGTGAACATGATGTGGTCTATACAGAAATCGAAATATAATGATGTACATCTGAATTTTTTTTTTTTTTTAAGATTTATTTATTTTTTCCCCCCAAAGCCACCGTAGATAGTTGTATGTCACAGCTGCACATCCTTCTAGTTGTTGTATGTGGGACGCGGCCTCAGCACGGCCGGAGAAGCAGTGTGTCGGTGCGCGCCCGGGATCCCAACCCGGGCCGCCAGCAGCGGAGCGCGTGCACTTAACCGCTAAGCCACGGGCTGGCCCTGAAATTTATATAATGTTGTAAACCAATGTTACCTCAATAAAAAAAATAACAAAAAAATAATGGAAGTAGAATTCAGTTGAGTTACAATCTAAGTAACATATACTTTTTAATGTTTACTATGAAGAAAACAAACAGGAATAGAATATAGTCATAAACTTTAGATTTTTCTAAAACAAATTATTTACAAAGGGAATGAAAACATTTTGAATCTTTCCTTTTTAAAGCTTAAGATTCTGAACTTACCCTTTCACTTTTCACAGAACCAGTGACATCATCATCATTTAGGTGGCGCTTGAACTTGGGAGGCATATTTTTTACTCAAGAAGTACTCTCCTATTTCCCAGCAGAGTGAGTACTCACCCCCTTAAAGAGAAAATAAATTTCATTAGATTTGAGACTTTGCTAAAGTACTTAAAAAAGCGTAGAAGGCCCTAGATGATGGGGCCTTGTTCACTTCTCTGACTTCAACCATTCCCTCCTCACTTGCTCCACTCTATGACCCTGGCCTCCATGCTAGGCCTCAATACATAAGCAATAGTCAAAACCATGAGAAAATAGATGTAACTTTCTTAAGAGCACATGTGGAAGAAATCAGTGACAAAGTTTTTATAAAATAAAAAAGCAGATTGTACAGGAGAAGGGAAGAATATGAGGTTGTTCCCTGAAAATGAGACATTAAATGCTTTTAAGATTTTAACTTGGAGTCAGAAGACAGCAGAACACTTCTAGTTTTCTCACTTTTAGTTAGTTGCTTAAACAATGACTCAGTTTCCTCATCCGTAAAATAGGGATTTCCAGGCTTCTGCATGGAGTTAGGATGGTCAAATCAGATAATACATGCAAAAACATTCTGTAAACGATAACATCTTATTCAAAAGCATAGCACTAGGTGCTCCAAGAAACGGGAGGTTTGGTAAGAAGTGGGTTAAACAAGGCCAGTGTTTTTGCTACAGAAAATCTCACAGCCTTTTATATGCTAATATGCATCGTGATTTTCCAGGAAAATGCTTGAGTATGCTACATATTCAAAATTTTCTTGAGAAAAACCTGACATATGTAAATATAAGTTTTCAGTATTCCGGACTAGAAGATGGATGAATAATGAGAGTAAATAAGGTGTACTGAATGTTCTACTATGTGCAGGCACCATGCTCAGAGATATACATGCATTTTCTTTTACTCTTTTGAAGCAGGCACCAAGAAACTAAGAGAAAACTAAGCCTTAAGATAGGTAACTAATAGTGTTAGTCACTCTACTGATTGAAATAACAGAAACATAGGCCTATATTAATCAGTAGCTGTGCATGACCAGTTTTAATATCTATTCAATTAGTTTTGCCTATCAGATTGCAGTTTTTTCTAGAAAGACCACTTCCCTATAACAACCCTGCAGCCCTCCTTCTCTTACCACAAGAAGAAACACCTCTAAGATCTCTAAATATAATTAGACATCAGTTTGTTGGTTAATATTATATACTAAAAAAAGAATAAACAAGATATCCACTTTCATAAATCAAATAAAAATAATATTTTAAGGTCCAGAGTCCAGTTTCATAATCAAATAAATCAAATAAAAGTAATATTGTAAACCAAATAAAGTATTTTGAGGTGGCTTCCCATAAAAACAATAAATCAAATTGTTTTCCCAAAACAATTCCCATAAACCAAATAAAAGTAATACTTTAAGGTGGCTTCCCATAAAAACAAACCGATAGACACTTTTTTTTTTGAATGAGAAAATCTTCCAAACCAGAAACTTAACCACTTGTAACAAAAACCAAATTCTTGCTACCTAAATAACAGCTCTAGAGTTCTTCATTCCACAATATTTCTGTCACGAACATCTGGCCCATTTTACTCCTCATACTTAGACTTCAGAGTAATTCATTCAAGCAAAAATGTTACAGAATGCATGGAAAAACAGATGACAAAGGAAGCAACTGAAGAACTTGAGCTTTTCTTTTACTTACACCCATGTTTTATTTTATATTTTAAGCCCTACAAATGGGCTGCCTCAACATCCCAAACCAAATAACAGGCAGACTTACATAACATCTTTATGAAATAAATACACAGTAAAGACACAAGTTTAATGATGAACAAAGCCCATATTCAGGTCCCATAATCCAAGCATCAGCCTCATGAAGGCAAGAAACCAGTGTCTGACAAACAGAAAAGCCATCACCAAAGCAGCAGGCAGATTAATTAACTACACTTAATGAACCACAGGGCAACTGATATTTGTACCAAACAACCAACACGATACTCTGTTGTATCGTATATCTGTGTATGTGTATATGCATATCTGCAGAATATACATATTCTGCCTAAGATTTCTCCTGCAAAATATACATAGGAATTCAGGTGTTTGTGTCTAGCTATATGTGTAAATAAGACAGCCTTCACGATGTATTTCAAAATTGAGGGTAGAACACCATGAAACACCAATACACTATTCACTTAAAAAATGTCACATCTTCGTATGCTTCTTATGCCATCATCATACGCTTACAATTTCATGTATGTATTTTTTTTGAAGAGGCGGTACATTCTCTATTCAATGGCTTTAAATGTAATAAACTTCTACTCTGTTGTTTAATAAATGTTGGCTTCTTTTTTGCTTTACGCAACAAACAAAAACCCAAGTATTGCATTTCACACAAAGCTTGAATCTGGGCAGCGGCGTCCCTTTTCCTAGCCTCCATTCCCTTTCTGACTCCTCTTCCTCATCTCTCATCAGCAGTCCCGGCTGGTGCAGTTTCACGGAAATAAGTGACTTGGATGGACACAGGCTGAGATATTATTCACAAAACCTGTCCAAGTGTAACGATTCACCTCACCTTCCGGTCATTACAAACGCGGCGGGGTTGGCGCTCTTGCTCCCGAGCCTTTAAATAATGAAACAAATCCAGCCCAGCCAGCCAGCGGCCCTGTTCGCCCCCCACCCCAGCTGTCGCACCAGGCCACGGCCCCAACATCTGTTCCCAACTCTGGTCCTTTCTGCCCCGACACCCACTCCCATTCCGGGCTGCCTCCACTCTTCTCCAATCCGCCCATCCCCGCCACTGCTCTCGTCCCGTCTCCCCAGAGCCCCTTCAATTCCCATTCTCCTCCCCCTCAACCGCGCCCCCGACCTCCGCACACCCCAGTCCTCCCGGCAGCCCGGCCCGGACCAGCCTTCGCCACTCCGGGCCCCTTCCTCGGCCGCGAGCCAGTCCCGCAGCCCGACGCGGACGTTGGGGGACGGCGGGGCAGGGGCGTCGTCTCCGCTTCCTTCCTCCTCACCTCAGCGCCTCCCGTCGGGACCGGGCGGGCGCCATACCTGAGTCTCCGGGGCAGCTCCGGGCAGCCGTCCGGGCCGGGCAGCGCTGGGCGGGCGGGGGAAGGAGCGGGCAGCGGAGGAGGACGGCGGGGAGGGGGACCGTGAGCGCGGCCCCGGCGTCGGCCCCTCCGCCGCAGCTGCGCCCCCGCTCATCGAGCCGCTCGGCGCTCGGAGGCCTGGCCCAGGCGGAGGGGCGGGCCCAGGCGGGGAGCGACGAGGGAGTCGATTCCGCCCTGCGCTCTCCACCCAGGCAGGGCCCTGGGGGATGGGGAGATTAGATCCGGAGTCTCAGGATTACGTAGTGCTTTAGGGGGAGACAGCAACAATTGGTTCCCGAGGTCCTGTCAGGCCCGGGCGTGCGTGGAGGGCAGTCAGGGAGGTGGAGAATGCTCGGAGAAGGCCCTCCACGCCGGGCGCCGAGGGCACGCCCGTGACTGGGGGTGGTTAGGCGTTCAAGAGCGGGTGCTTTGTGCACAGTCCATCCCCCGGGCCAAGGAAGCCCAGTAGGGAAAGGAGCATGGCTCAAAACCGGAGGAGCGCCTTCGGATAGTCTAGCGCCTTTTATGAAGAAGGATCTGTGTCTCTATAACCCTTGTTATAGAGTTAGACTATAGAGTTATCAGAGTTAGACTAGGAGGGAGATACTGAGGGTTACTAATGCCGTCTCCTCATTTTAGACATTGGGAATCTCTGGTCCAGAGAGATTTACTTTGACGTTGCACTGCTAGTTTGGGCAGATTTTGGACGAGGACTCAGGTGTTCTTTCCTCTGGATCATTTAAAGTTCTAACCTAAAATAACTAGGCCCAGACACCGGAGCCTTCAGGTTTCAGGTGGGAAATCACTCTGCATGGCCATTCCACTGTTCTGTTCACTCCTCCTACTCCCCAAATTAGTAGCATATTGAAACCTGCAGTGGCTGGGCATAGTAATCCAAAACAATTCCAGTGTTGTTTTTGCTTTCTCTTATTTGCTTGCTTTGTCCATTCCTCCCACACACGTCCCAGATGGATTATTTTACTCATTTTTTTTCCTTTGTTTGCTACACTTCTTTTTTACTTAATATCTATGGGTCCTTTGTTTGTTGATACAGTGTTTTAACTTAGTGCATATTTAAGCTAAACAAACACATTGAAAGATGCATTGGCCAGGGCAATGACTCTCAAGTTAATGACAGAGAGTTGAATCACCTGGAAAGCTTTAAAAATGACTGATACCGAAGCACCACTCTGAGATTCTGATTTAATTGGCCCGGGATGTTGAGAAATAGTGAGCCATGGGTTGTCAACTGAAGCTTCTGAAAGCCTGGTGTTAGACTCGCTCATTATCCGTGAGTACTACTCAGACCCAGGCTGACTTGGACTGAACCGGCCCACCCCGAAGGGGAAGCTTCTTATACAGCCCGCCCTCCGTATCCCCGGGCGGGTTCAACCAACTGTGGATGGAAAGACCTGCAACTACTGAACATGTACAGACTTTTTTTTCTTGTCATTTTCCCCTAAACAATACAGTATAACAACTATTTACATAGCATTTACACTGTATTAGGTATTATAAGTAATCTAGAGATGATTTAAAGTATATGGGAGGATGTGCCTAGGTTACATGCAAATACTGTGCAACTTTATATAAGGGACTTGAGTGAATTTTGGTATAGGGGAGTGGGGTTCTGGAACCAATCCTCCACGGATACTGAGGGATGACTATGGTTTGTTTCTTTGCGTGGGCATGATGGTAAGACTACCCCAGAGACTCCATAGATGACCCAGAAGTTGTTTTTTTTCTTCTCCAGTTGGTTTTATATCTGTATATTTGCTTGTTACTGGGTGCTTGCCTGCTTTGGTGCCTTAGCCTATTAGAGCTTTAGCCAATTACAGCCTCAGCCCTTCTTACCAGACAACTTAAGGCAGTATGATTATTGAGCTGTACAGGCATGTCATTACATAGCTTCTATGAATAAACCATTCTTTTTGTTTGGTTTTTTAACCATAATTCTTTAGTTCTACTGACCATTTTGGTATGATTGCTTAGGGGAGGGGTAATGCAAGCCCCACCCTTTAGCTCCACCTGAACAAAGTCCCCTTGACTATCCCCAACATTTCTGAAAGCTAGAAAATACCATTTTACAGTTAAAATAAATCAAATATACCAGTAAGCCTGAAAGAATATAAATAGCACTGGACTTAGAGTCAGAATGGGGTTCCAGTCTCACCAACTTGAATTATTTGATTATTTCCTACCCTATTTTCTCTTTCTTGAGCTCCAATTATTCAGATGTTGGTCCCTTAATTTTCTTATCATTTCTCTTTCAACATCAGACCAACCTTAACTGGGCCTGGTGTCCTCCTCGCCAGAGATTCTTTGTTTTACTCTCTTTCAAGACTAAACCTCTGGGTTTCTGCTGGGATGGGGAAGAGAATCTGAGCACCTGATTCTTAAACAGGTTTCATTATTCCTCCTGTTTTTAGTCCACATCATGCTCAGAGTTACCTGGTGCTTCCAATTCCTGAGCCTTATGTGGTGCTTAGCTGTGTAAATCAGGTTGCTTCATGGCCTGCTTGGGATTCTGTTTCTTAAGTCTGCTCAGATAATTGTCACTAATTCATCTACTTTCCAGGTATTAATATTTTGTTGCTAATGTCTCCTCTCTCATGAGGTAGAAAAAAAAATACAAATCAAATATAAACATGTGAACAATTGTTCAGTATCAGTCAAAATGTAAATGAAAACAAATAATGAAATACCATTTTTGTTTCATCAATGACTGGGAACCTCATCAAGGAAGAGGTTAAGGAGCAGATCTGCCATCCATTCTCTCCCTTTATATGGGAATACTCCTAGGAAAGTGAGCAAACATGTGATTCTTATAGATATGGTAATAACAGAATTCCTGGTGAACAAACTAATAGTATTTGCTAGCAGGAGACTTCATATCTATGGAATTCCTTTAGCAAGATGTCCCTGGGCTGGGATTGTTTATAAACACACCAGGAATTCCGTGTGGATTTGAAGTGTGTAACTAGAAAATACCATGTAAGCTATGTAACTTAGCATAAAATGGAGATGTTTCCTAACCAAGTTGGCTCCTTCTGTGTAAATGAGGTTACTTCACATCTTATTTAGAAACCACATCTGTTATCTAGCACCAGGGTGCGTCAAAAGCAGGAAGAAAGGTCCTGGGGAGCAGCACTAAGAGTGCTGGACTCTCCCTACTTTGTCTGTGCCTCCTGGTTACTAGTATCTTTGAAATTATTGGTAAAGCTTGATATTGGGTAAGATCTCTGATTTGTGAGTTTGATTTAACAATTTTATCCTTTGTGTTAGCTCAATGGCAAAGATCAAAAAGTTTGATAATACAGTGTTGGAGGGGTGTGTGTGTGTGTGGTATGAGGGGGGAGGTGGGAAGAACAAGGTTTGTTAAACACTGTTGGTGAGAGTATGAATTGGTACAATTTTTTTTAAGTTCAGAGTGACAATATATGTCAAAAATTTATATGAAGTTCCTTTTGTAGGGGAGGAAGACAAATTCTCTACCCTCTAGGTCCTTCTGGCTGGGCTATGAATTAAATTGGCATGAGACAGAATAACAGGAGAAAATCAAACAGAGCTTTATAACATGTATACAAGAGAGAAACCCAGGAAAACTGGGTAACTCAACCAGAGTGGCCGAAGCTGTCACCTTAAATATCATCTTTAGCTAAAGACAAAGGAGGATGCTGGGGGTCTGGGGAATGAGTTATGGGAGATTACCAGAAAAGCACAGTAAACAAGAGTAAGGTTATTATGCAGATTTAAGTTGTTGCCTTCTGCATTGATAAGCGTTTCTAGACATAAGGTCATCCCCCCTTCCTGGTACAGAGAGGGAGATATCTTTAAAAATGGAGATTTCCCTTACAAATGTAAATATCTCTTACAAAGGATAACTTTTCCTTGGTT